CCAAGCCTTTAACAATTGATGTAAGAAGATCCAATATGTGTGAATGCAAGACTGGGAGTTCTGAACAAAAAAATTCTTGTTTCATTGTAGTCATATAGGCAATGCCTAGTGATGAGGAACCATCAACCATCAGCACTCTTTTGGCAAGTGCTATTAATGGAAGTACATGTATAGCAACCTAGTAAGCAAGAGAAAAAAATTAAGATAATTCCTCAACTGCTTCTATAACTCACACCACATATACGGAAATAAATTAATCATGAACCCGCATTTGAATGTGACCACAGATTCTGACCTGAAATGGGTAAGAACTCGTAAGCAATTCACAACAACAAAGTATCAGGGTAGAGATTCTGGAGATCTGCAAGTGCTCAGGCCTCATTGTATTGTCTACAGTTCCTCTAGACAAAGATTGGCCCCCTAATGGAGGCGGTGGGTCTTTCCCAGGGGGAAGCAGCAATCTCATGGCCTCAGTTCTTATAGTTTCTAAAAATATATTTATAAAAGATGAATCTCAGTTGGAGCTCTTGCCATGATTAGTAAGGATAGCAATCAATATCTGAAAATCACCTTTCTCTAGACCCTGGAAGGCATCATTCAGCTGAATATTGATTGACAGCATGATCTTCTGCATCATCAATACCCAGCTATCCTCGTCCCCTCTTGATTTTGGTAGCAAAGCCAAACAATAACCAAGCTTCTGAAAACTAAAACCAGATGAGTTCCTCTACTTTTGGCTATCATATTCTAGCTAGAATTCAAATAAACCTTCTGGGTTTTGTCTCACCTTCAACATACTAGGATTGCACTTGCCTGACATGAGCCTCAAGACAATAGCATCCTCCACCTGCCAAAATAACCATGTCAACTAAAGCATCTATACTGAAATAAACATGATATAATGATTAGGCCTCTCCGAAGAACACAAGTAAGAAATAGAAACAACAATCAAAACCTTAAAATAACGGCAAATGAGTGTGAGCCAAGAACAAATTTCATCAATGGGACGAAAAGAAAAGAAACCAATGTCACAGGAAACTGTTTCATTATAGCCTTACTTAAACCCTTCAATATGCTCCCATCAGCATAAATTTAATTTCTCAGGTTTAGAGAAAATAACTTCCTAAGCAGAGTGCTTAAGAAGCTAATCCTAATCTGTATATATCATGCTTCCTTTCTATCTTGTTCTCGATGAACAAACTAGACATTGATGCATCATGAACTAGCCTTAGAGTAGTTTGATGTTATGCAATGTAAAAAAAAAAGAAAATCATGACACCAACAAAGAACTTACACCATCATAATGCCATTGAATGGAAGATGGGAAAATATCTAAAATACTGCACAACAGAAAAATAGCTTCTTCCTGCACAGGTTGCAAGAGATGTCAAAACTCTAAAACAAAGGCAAGCAACCACTTCACATGCAGTAAGCAAAATTAACTTAATACTTTCAAGAAAGAACAGTTCAGCTAGTTTTACTAACCCATGAAGCATCAAATCTATCCTCGTTTAGCTGCTTCAATAATGGTTGAATTAGTTTTGTACTGAGTGCTACACCATCTTTCTTTGCATTTGGCAATCCACTCAACCTGATATTTAGGAAGGGAAAGGCACATATCCTTTTGATCAGAAAAATCTTCAAAAGTCAAAAGACCATCCTAAACCCTTCTTAGAGGGCTCTGCATAAATTTCCAGCAGAATTCACATTAAAGGGCAAAATGCCCCAAGAGAGAAACACTGAACTTGCTACAAATTTAAAATTATTAAAATTCTTATCAAAGTTAGTTGCATAAACATTGACCAGTCTGTAAATTCTGTTCCTTGGTGTGCACAAATGGAAGTCCCATCCTGAACAATTACAAAATAAGGTAATACTGAGGTAGGAACATCTAAAAGATTGGAAATATCTAAGTTTGCTCAGTCTTGCGGCATTCCTTACTTAGTTACACTAGCTTTCAGCCTTTCACTTTTTAGTTAGGATCAAACTGCAGTAGTCTTTTTCCTTTCTAAAAGGGGCCAATTGACTGGTGCTCCTTCACTATATACTATGCACCAAATCTTAATATTTCACTAGCTGCCGCAGATAATTTTAGGGTTTAAACCCCATAGCCATATCTGCGGGAAGGTGCATAAACTACTAATTCCAAATAAATGACATATCATACAGGAGAATATCCATATGATGAGTATGTTACATTCAAACACCATTAGGATCAGAAAGGAAATTTAATGTGCAAACCTAAATTAAACAAAACCTCTTTATTTTGAAAGAAAACAATGATTTCATAAGGCATCAACAGTGTATGCATACGCAAGAAGTTCCCATTAACATAATATATTTTTTCTATCAGAAATAGTTTCCCATTAACGTAACATCAAAACGGTTTTTCCAAGTTAAGGGCAAGAAATAACCCTCTCCATCAACCCTAGACTCATTGAGTACAATAAACAACATTCAGAATCAAAAGTTATCAAACAAACCTTGTGAACAAATCTGACAGGGAGGCACAAGTAGCTACCTTCACAAAGTGAGAATCTGCCGGGGACTAATCCAAGTACCCACATAAACAAAAAGAAATGGACGTTCATTAACTTCTCACATTGATTTAAAGCAAAACTTCCGCAAAGATATAAGAGGTTAGCTGTAGTCAATCAAATGTTTGTTACTCCTCACTGATTAATTAAGAGAACATATAGGATTGATCAACGCACCAATTAATAAGACACTTATCAGGTTGAGTTAAACAAATGATTAGCACTTTTAATGGTTTGAAATCCCAGTTACTTTACTGTGTAGTCCGATGATATCTACATGGATCAGTCATCTCGACGCATAGTTGATAATGAAAACAACACAATTCATACATCTTCCTGCTTTCCAGATCATACTTGAAGACATAATAACATCCAAATGTATTTTTTCCAAGACCAAAATGAAAAGAAGGAACATAAAAGATTATGTAGCCACAGTGGAAAATGTTTGTTTGCACTTCAACTGAAACAGGAACATGAATTCATTTTATATATGTCATCAACCAAAAGAAGATTAGACAAAGAACTCTTATCAATAAAGGATCAACTTGATTACCTGAAGATGCACTAAGAGTTTGTTAAACCATGCAGCGTAAGAAGCTATGAAACGTTCCCTACTGCATTCTTGACTTGTCACCCCGAGCAAACATATACCCGCCCAGCATTTATCTGGCTGCAACACAAACAATCACAAAAAACTAACTCCTTAATCCTACATTGAAAACATGCAGGTAATCCAATGTAATAAAGTTCATAAACAGCAATATGCTTCAGGAACCATGTAAATCCATAATAAGGATTCATTCTCCAATCAGTAAATTCATCTGACAAGAGGAACTGACCCAGTTGCTAAAGGTAAAATAATTACATATCATCATTATTCAAAAAGGACAACCCAGTGCACAAAGCTCCCCTATGCATTGTCCAGGGAAGGGCCGGACCACAAGGGTCAATTGTACACAGCCTTATTCTTGCATACATGCAAGAGACTATTTACACAACTCAAACCCACATGGCAGCAACTTAACCAGTTACGCCAAGGCTCCCCTTCATCATCAGTATTCAATTTTTTGCAAATTATAAGCACAAGTATCAACACAAAGAGTTGTTGATTTTGGTGCCTTGCAGGTCATCGGTTCAAGATGTGGAAATGTATGTTCAATAGCTTACAAGCAAACAAGAATGAGAAGCACAAAATGTAGATAGTTAGGCACAAATCCTTTATACATTTTTTAAAAAGCCACACACTCAAACTTGCAAATAAGCAGTAGACACCTCAACTTGGTCTCAAGTGGCAATTAAACACTCCAACCCATCCCCATTGTGTCTCGTGGACGTCAGCTTACACATCAATTTTGAAGGTGTCTAAATGATCCTTTTGTAAGTTGGAGTATTCAACTGACAGAATGGATACAAGTTGAGCTGTCTAATATGCATACTCAAAGTTGGAGTATTTACTTACTAAGTGAAGCAAAGTTTAAGTATCTGTTTATATATTATAACTATAAAATAACAGTTTTTAAGATTATTCACCGTGTCACTAGACGCAAGACCGACTACTCGATTGATCCAGGAATCGACGGCTGCTGTCCAGTTTTCAATCAACTTTTCATCAGATTCCGGTGGAACTGATTCGGACAGTAGCTGATGAGTCTTAATGGCAGAAACAACATATGAGAGAACTGATGGATTCCGAAACTGATGTTTCAGGTCAGGAACATACTCTTTGAGCAGAGACCGAAGTAGCCGAGGCCTCAAAGCGACGTCATACATGTTCTCAATTGTATCAGAGGCCGCCATTGAAGAGAAAGAGAAACAGAGAACAGCAAAATAGCAGGTATGATTTAGGGTTTAAGGATAAACCCTAAAATTTTAACAAAGACAAAAGGAAAGGTTCCCTTTTTATGAAATCGGGTCGGACCTTACTACTATTTTCGTCGATTGTCATTTTTAGACATTTGTTTAGTAAAATGACCTTTTTATATATATTTTTTGTAACTTATGAATTTTTTTGGACCTAATTTAAAGATTTTTATCGAGTAAATTGAAAATCTATAAGAAAAATTAGATTATATTTATGATTTGCAAGTTAATAAAATTTTAAATGATGGTTTAATATTCTGTTAGAATCTTCGTACAAATAGTTGGACAAACTTATTGTTTATTTTTCTAATTGATATATAGATTATACGTGAGTTATACATATATATTATACATCCACCGACTATTTTTAGTTTAATCAGTTAGATGGGATGCTATTTTTATATATTAGATTGAGAAACATATAAAAAAAGAATATTAGAGTTGAGTCTAATGGTATTTAAAGGCTAATTTTTAAAGGGTTATATATATATATACTAGATAGGCATGGCCCGTGCCAGCACGGGCCCAACACGTATATTTGTGTATTTTTGAACTTTTTTTAATTTCCAATGCAGGAAAAATGACTTTTGAGCACTTGTATCAAAAAACATTTTAATTGTCATTACATAATACATAACATATAAAAATTGAATATTGTAATCACTGTAGTTCTAGTTAAATAAAGAGGAACTCAAAAACTAAATAAATCTTGTATAGTTGATGCAAAGGAAAATCCATCCATTCAAAAGTCATCCCTGCATTGTTGTCACAAGCTAAGATTTTGCCAAAGAACCTGAAGCACAATAAGCAAACCTTAATTGTTAACGGTATAAACTTACCATCTTCCTTAGTATTTTGTTCACATTACTCAAATTAAATACTACTATGAAGAAGACTCTCGGTAAATGTCTCATTAAATAAATAGTGCAAATGCATTTCACAGAAATCACACTCACAGATCCATTTGTGTAAATACCTTTGGTAACTTGCTTGTGGAATTATTCAAATTGAAAATGTCATAACAAGCAAAAAGCAAAGAACATAATTTATACCTGATTCTCTTCTGTAGAAACCTCACCAATCATTATTCATAATAAAAGGAACTTTAATTGCTAAAAAAATAGAAAATATCAAGTACACTGAAAAGTAACTTTGAGTTGTAGAAGGAAAGGAGAAACTACTTCTTCCCTTAATATATTATAACTTAGGTATTTTAAGAAGTCAGCAAACCCTTGGATATCTTTCAGGGAATCTTCCTACTAACTGGAAATTAGGAGTTGATTTCCTCCTTTATAGTGTCTTACATTTTGATCGTGTTAAAATTAATATCCTCATTTTGTCATATTTAATTAGTAAATGCTTTCGTATCATCAGTATGTCACTTTACCTACAATCTTTGTTTCGGCAATACACCATCTACAATGAATTTCATTGTTAGTTATTGTCATTTATTATGAGATCAAATATAGTCACCTTGTCCTTTCTGTCAATAATATTAGTACTTGAAGAGACTTATCAGATCGAACAACTTACAATTGTTGGAACTTAGGGAACATATTTAAGACATATGAAATAGCCTAGAAGACTCAAAAAACAACACTACTTAAAGAGTTAATGTTCACTGATTTTATGTTCTAACAAATTCTTTAACATCTAATGAGTTTTCATTAAATATTAGAGGCAACTAATATATTATAAAGATATGCGGCAAAACATCATCAAAACTAAATCATTCTTTAGCCACTACATAACACCTTCATATTTATAGAGCATAAAATAAAACCATATAGATGATTCCTTGTGCATGCTAGAAACAACTTACCATTAAACTCTTTATAAAGCTTGTCCTGTTAGTACCCTTTTGCCAAGATCATTTCTCCATATTCTTCTTCATTTCTTCTTCTTTTTTTCTCGGACGCTGAATCTATTTAGTGATAGCAAGCACAATATTAACTTTTTATTGTAAAAATAACTAAATTTAACTTAAGGGAATCAATATGGAAGAGCTTAAAAGTAATATAAAATTGAAATTTTTCTGCTCAATTTTCAACAATGCAAAAGAAATTTTAACTTTTTAACAAGTGGACTTCTTCAAACACCTGATGGTGTTAGATATGTAAGCATAAGATAAATGTAAAGAATCATAACCATAATACAAAACCCAAAAAGTATACAGTTACACGATGCTATTATAGTGTGACTCCTATTATGTGTAATCATGTTATGACAACATCATCTTACAAGGAAAAATTTCTATATTTTCCTTGGTCACATGATAAGACAAATGTATTAGTGAGATAATTAAAGACACTAAGCTTACGAAATATCTTGTTTTCACCTATAGGCTCTTCCATATATAATGTTGCTACATCTTCCCCGGCCTACTCCACATCCTCGAAAGGTACTCGAATCTGGAGAATAAACTCAATTACTTGAGAACTTGCCTATAGCCTATCCAACTTTGATAATGATTTCGTTTGCTGCACTCCTATTACATTGTCAAAGTGGTGCATCAACAATGGTTTTCTTTGGGGTAAGCAAGTGGCAAGAGCTACTAATTTGAGAGACATTTAAGCAATTGGAAGATAGCATCTTAAGTTAATGTGCAGGTTTGTTGAAACTAATTGCAGAGCCAAACAACTGTAGTCGTAACAGTGAAGTGTGTCTTGTTGTCTATATATAGAGATTCCTATTACTAAAAACATGAATATTGATATTTGGCTAGTGTTCTTGCGTAGAGTTTTACGTATTTGTAATGAATTTGTATCTCATATATTTTAGTATATTCCTAAAATATATATTGAAGAGCAAGCATATTTCTGTAGGAATATATGTTCCAGAATTCAGTAGTTCCATAACGCCAATTTACAACTCAACTTAGTAATATATTTGAATTCTACTAACAGAAAATTATAAAATCAACTACAGTCAAAATAATGAACTTCATCCAAAGAAAGCTACAATATCATATCAGTATAAACCACCAGATCTAACTAATGCATATGAAAAAACATGAGACCAAAATAAAAGTAGCAACAAAAATATGGTGAGAAAGTAAACAAATGTGAGAAATCGGGATAATCACGCAGACAAAATGAAGAATTCTCCCACTAAACCATTAAGATGGTGGCAGTAATTAACACATAATATTATGTTAGCTTAGAGTGCATAATGGCGAAGCTCTAAAAATGTTAAACCACCGGACATGGCGAACAGAATCAATAGATATTTTAAAGTTTTTTTTTTGGGTTCAACAATCAATAGAAATAAATGGTCAGATTGAGAAAAAGAGACCGCCTCAAAACAAAAATGTGTCACGGGAAAAGAGAGGATCCCTATTGAGGTTCACCTGATCTACAGAATTCCAGAGCATGAAGGTTTAAAGGCAGTAAATTCAGAATAGAATTGCTACTCCACCACTAAAGCTCAACCAAAACCGTCTGATGCAAACAATACATGCTAGACATCTATGACCCTCGTCAATTTTCATGTGATTCATTACATTATCTAATAATGCAGAGACACCAAAATCAAGAAAAATGAGAGACATATTAAAGGTAAGTTTCATACCTTAGAACATGGAGACCGTCTTCTTTGTCCGATTGAGTCTTGTCATTCATACGTACCAGGAAGCTAGCCTGTAAACTTTAAAGTAGAACTTCCTATTACCACAGAACACCAACAATCCATTCATATGATCTCACGACTTTGTTTATCATAACATCAATGACAAAAAATAATTTACCAACTTGCCAACTGATTCGTGCTAGTCCGTGCCAATTTTCAGAAAAAGAGATATGTGTATTTTAAGGTTAACCATGATGTCATTAATTTAAGGTAGTTTGTTGTTTGTTTTATCTCCATTAGCCTCCAACAGAGTTAGATAAAAGGATGGTTGTTGAAGAAAAATAGAAGACTAATTGTTGTGGTAGCAGAATGTAACTCATGTAGATCGCAAAATTGTGAACTCACCCTATAAGGAATTTAGTGTTACAATCTCTACTCAAATCATAAATTCATAGTCGGTAAATCGAAAATCGAATAAAATGGGGAGAACCTATATTTTCTTGGTTTGATTTGGTAAAATTGAGGTCGGTATACCTGAAGCTCTTTACCAAAATGTGACAACTTGACTTGACAGAGGATGCTCTTTTACATGATTGAAGTAATTTGCAAACCTAGAATCAGTGATTTTTAGCATTACATTTTTGTCAATCAACAAAGCATCCCCATAATATTTCGGTGCAAATACACTCTTGTGACAGTGCTGCAGCTGTGCAAGTAACTACCTGCATACAACAGTTTATATGAAATTGAAAAAATACTTTGAAAATCAGCAAGTGTAATGACCAACAACAAATGAAAATTAATCTCGAATGATACGTGTCTTTTTCATTACAGGGTTGTTATGCATCAAATTCTCAATAGAGAATGGGGCATTCTCACTATACCCCTCTTCCATCTCTCATCCAAATAAGAAAATATTGCTCCCTCTATGCTCATCAGTCAATGTGAAGTCTTAAAGAAGACATATCACATCTTCAAGCAGCGAAAACCAAGGGAAAAAAAATAAAGAATCCCCAAAAATAGAGCAAATGCCAGCTAATAGTGAATATACTAAAGAGTGCTATCTTTCAGTCGTGAAAAATTCCAAGCAAAGTGGGTTGCTTCCTGCAGATGGCAAGCATAAAGTAGGAGAAAAAGGAGATAATTAGGAAACTATTGTTAAACTATATCATTTTCAAATTCAGAGGAATTGAACTGAACAGTTGAAAATATAAATTCAGCTATGGCTAATTGGCAAAAAATTCTTACGAAGCAATAGAGATCCAAGCATACAATATTTAGCACAAAAATATCTCTTTTTTCTCTTTCAGTTCTCCTTTTTTCCTATTCTGCTTACTCTCTTTTCTCCTCCTCTCTTGTAGCCACCACTTTCTCCATCAGCCACGTTCCCAAAAACATTTTATCTACACATGTATTCTAGTCATTTTCTTCATTTTCCTTCAGTAATTTTCCCCCTCAACTTAGATTGTTTTTCAAGAAAAACAATTATCTTAAAAATTAGCTTATGAAAGTCATGTTTGAAACTTTTCACTCTATAGGAGGTAAGATACCTCTTCATAAGTGCATCGTGCATGGATCATATACCATGAAAAAAATGTCAAGGGTAAAATGCTAAGGAAAACTTTATTGCAAAAGATATATATATATATATTCTCGTTGAAAACATAGGTAAGTTCATAGCAGTGTAGAATCGTGGTGCAGACTTGTGAAATGATGTCTTGGTACTGATATTTAGTATTAGTTTTGTACTCATCAAATAAAAAGATCTAAACTAAAACAAATATCTTTTTTGAAATAAAAGTAAAAGAGTTAGTGACATCTATTATTGATCTCACCAAATTTACCAAAGTGAAACATCAAAAAGATAGAGGGGGAACAAATGAGAGTTCAACCATTCATATATATCTTCTTATATGGTCTATGAATAATTGAAGCCAAGCTTCCAGTAATATCATCATAATCATAAAGTTACAACAATTTGGAAAATTACTTGGCAACCTTATCAATTGAAAATCTACATGAAATGACCATAGACCAAACTATAAGCATGTGCAAATTGTGATAAAACTCTATTGTATATTTAGAAAATTAGAAGATCTTTGTTCTTTTATTCGATGAGTCAATCTATCCATTCTCATTAGGGGAATTCCTTTATCTTATCAAGAGTCCTAGGGAAATAAAAAATAACTTCGAGGTATTTTTTTCGTTTCTTTAAACTTCTTACAATTTTATCATCCTACACCTCAGGACTCACATAGCTTTAAAGTTATTTTCTATTCAAGCAATCCAATTTCCACCAAGGACGATAAATTTTAAGTTGTCATAATACTAAACAAAGAATAGCTAAGGATATGACTACTTTAAAGGTTATTATGGATATTGTGGGAAGAACACACATGAAAAGCAAGCTTTGTAAACATAAATTTGGCTAACCAAGTTGGGTCGGTGATCCTAGTTTTAGCATCTTGCCTGAACTTGCATATTTTGTCACTGCTACTTCCCTTTCTTGTCAATCATAGTTGAAGAGGTCATATTCCTTTTGTTTCTTTTAGTGGCACTTGTAATCCATTGATTGAAGATAGAAAAGTAACTGCAGTTTCGGTGACCTCAAGGTTATGAGCCTTGCGAGCTATCAGATTGTTGTACCACAAGCCAAAGATAAGAACTGAAAACTAATAGATAAAAAGAATTAAATGTTCCCCTCCACCCTATCAGTACAAATAGAATAAAAGTGAAACATCAAAAAGATAGAGGGGAACAAATGAGAGTTCAACCATTCATATATATCTTCTTATATGGCCTATGAATAGTTCAAGCCAAGCTTCCAGTAATATCATCATAATCATAAAGTTGCAACAAATTGGGAAATTACTTGGCAACCTTATCAATTGAAATCTACATGAAATGACCATAGACCAAACTATAAGCATGTGCAAATTGTGATAAAACTCTATTGTATATTTAGAAAATTAGAAGATCTTTGTTCTTTTATTCGATGAGTCAATCTATCCATTCTCATTAGGGGAATTCCTTTATCTTATCAAGAGTCCTAGGGAAATAAAAAATAACTTCGAGGTATTTTTTTCGATTCTTTAAACCTCTTCAAATTTTATCATCCTACATCTCAGGACTCAGATAGCTTTGAAGTTATTTTCTATTCAAGCAATCCAATTTTCACAAAGGACGATAAATTTTAAGTTGTCATAATATTAAACAAAGAATAGCTAAGGATATGACTACATTAAAGGTCATTATGGATATTGTGGGAAGAACACACATGAAAAGCAAGCTTTGTAAACATAAATTTGGCTAACCAAGTTGTGTCGGTGATCCTAGTTTCAGCATCTTGCCTGAATATTTTGTCACTGCTACTTCCCTTTCTTGCAAATCGTAGTTGAAGAGGTCATATTCCTTTTGTTTCTTTTAGTGGCACTTGTAATCCATTGAATTAGGATGTTACAGAATTTGATAATATATTTACTAAGATCAATGGATCATTCTTCTAACAATTTGAACATAACTTTCATCAAACATGTTATGTACAAAGGAATATGACTACAAAATGAGGATAGAAAAGTAACTGCAGTTTCCGTGAGCTCAAGGTTATGAGCCTTGCGAGCTATCAGATTGATGTACCACAAGCCAAAGATAAGAACTGAAAACTAATATATAAAAAGAATTAAATGTTCCCCTCCACCTTATCAGTACAAATAGAATAAAAGTGAAACATCAAAAAGATAAAGGGGAACAAATAAGAGTTCAACCATTCATATATATCTTCTTATATGGCCTATGAATAGTTCAAGCCAAGCTTCCAGTAATATCATCATAATCATAAAGTTGCAACAAATTGGAAAATTACTTGGCAACCTTGAAATGACTATAGACCAAACTATAAGCATGTGCAAATTGTGATAAAACTCTATTGTATATTTAGAAAATTAGAAGATCTTTGTTCTTTTATTCGATGAGTCAATCTATCCATTCTCATTAGGGGAATTCCTTTATCTTATCAAGAGTCCTAAGGAAATAAAAAATAACTTTCGAGGTATTTTTTTCGTTTCTTTAAACCTCTTCAAATTTTATCATCCTACACCTCAGGACACAGATAGCTTTGAAGTTATTTTCTATTCAAGCAATAAAATTTCCACAAAGGACGATAAATTTTAAGTTGTCATAATACGAAACAAAGAATAGCTAAGGATATGACTACATTATAGGTTATTATGGATATTGTGGGAAGAACACACATGAAAAGCAAGCTTTGTAAACATAAATTTGGCTAAAAAAGTTGTGTCGGTGATCCTAGTTTAAGCATCTTGCCTGAAGTTGCATATTTTGTCACTACTACTTCCCTTTCTTGCAAATCGTAGTTAAAGAGGTCATATTCCTTTTGTTTCTTTCAGCGGCACTTGTAATCCATTGAATTAGGATGTTACAGAATTTGATAATATATTTACTAAGAATCAATGGATCATTCTTCTAACAATTTGAACATAACTTTCATCAAACATGTTATGTACAAAGGAATATGACTACAAAATGAGGATAGAAAAGTAACTGCAGTTTCCGTGACCTCAAGGTTATGAGCCTTGCGAGCTATCAGATTGCTCTACCACAAGCCAAAGATAAGAACTGAAAACTAATAGTTAAAAAGAATTAAATCTTCCCCTTCACCCTATCAGCACAAATAGAATAACTCATTTATACAGAATGGTAAAAGGGCTACTATGATCATCAACAATAGAAATAGAACTAAAGTGTTAATTCTTACCTACTTGATCTTGTTGCTCCTGGCAACAAACATGCTGAACCATTTTAGCAAGTATACACAGTAAACTAAAGACGATGAGGTGATTTGTTCAGTGTAGTGGCAGAGGAACACACTTTTCTGGCATATGCAATTATTGAAAGAACAATAAATCATTCAAACAGTTAGGAAGCATGAGTAAAGAGTTCCAAATTCTAACAAAGAATTTCTTACTTAACACCCATCTTTATGGTTGTCCATCTAGACTTCTTAGTTTTCTTCATGTGGTACCTGCAATCGAAAAATGATAATATTCATTATACAAATAAAAAATAGGATGATATTGATTAGAAAACCGTTTAATTTTTCTAGTTATGTTCAATACAAATTCATACAAACAAATTTTAGATGCAAGAAAAAGGTTTAGGAAATTTATTTAGTTCTTTCTTCTGCCTTTTTGTTTCATAAGAGGCGTTTGGACAAACAAACAAATTTCTGTACATAATAACAAAGAAACATGAAGAAAGACAGAACAATTATGTAGCGTCCATCAAAAAAATACTAAAAGAAAGACTCTATATTTTTGGGGGGAAAAAGGACTCAAAACCATATAGGAGTAAAATAGAAAGAAGAGTTGAGAGGGAGAGAAATTAGGGAGACAAACAGAAATCTTCAGCAAAGCTTCAGAGAGAGATTTAAAGGCTGTAGACAAACAACAAACAATAAAGAAGAGATGGAGTCACCATTGAAATTTCGCTTAAACCATGAAGAAGAACCTGCGCAGGTCGTCCGAGACAAACAGAAATCTTCAGCAAACCTTCAGAGAGATGTAGAGAAACAGAAAAGAGTAAAGAACAGCTCGATTGGCCATTGAAGAGTTCAGAAGTCGAAAGAAGAGTTGAGAGGGAGAGAAATTAGGGTTAGAAATTTGAGAAACTTCTAGAGAAAGTGAAAGGAAATGAGAGAGGGCTTTATTGATGCACAATTAGTACTACCTTTAGTACAATGAGCAGCTGCAGTGTTGGTCCTTTTAAATGTACAATTAGTACTGCCTTTAGTACAATCAGCAGATGCAGTGTTGGTCCTTTTAAATGTACAATTAGTACTGCCTTTAGTACAATCAGCAGATGCAGTGTTGGTCCTTTTAAATGTACAATTAGTACTGCCTTTAGTACAATCAGCAGATGCAGTGTTTGTCCTTTTAAATGTACAATTAGTACTACCTTTAGTACAATGAGCAGCTGCAGTGTTGGTCCTTTTTAAGTGCCACTTCTAAATAAGGGTAATAAATATATGTAACTTCTAAAATTAAAACATAAATATGATACATTTGTGGCACAATTACGTAAGTTTGTCAATAATTGAGGTAGAGAATTCTATTTTCAGTTTTATTTTTTGACTATATACTTCGACAATCGATACTCTTAAACTTGGCATATTTAGATAGTAACCAAATAAACATACTTGGTTGAAGTGTGGTTCGTAAACGTGATTCCTAAAATCTCAACATAGGCAATGTGTTTTTTTACAGGATTTCGTCACTCAGATTAGCATTCTTGCTTATGATATCACTAGGTCTTAGTCACCAAAAACCTTCCCAAATTGAGAACGTCAAGCTTAGCAAACATAATTTTTTTAAAATTCCATATCAAAGAACTTTTATCTTTGTAAACAACTAGAATATAACTTATTCAACAAGGAGGAATTTTCCTTTCCCCCACTCTGTTAAAGTTGATTTTCTTAAAACTCATTGAATGAGCATAGACAAAAGTACAAGATTACAGGTTCTTTACAAGATTAATCATTCTAAATTTCACAAGAACATATGAGAATAAGGGCAGAAAAAAAATGCACTATTTCAAAATTTAAAATGCCTAACAATGTCGATGCTCTATAAGAAGTAAACGGTATCAATATCATCAGACCATTTTCGTGACAGAAGGTAATGTCTTCAGAAGTGATGGAGAATGTCGTCGTACAGTGTGATTGAGCAAAATCATGAATGTTAAAAGAGTCAATGCTCCTGCCTGATGAGCAGTTCCTAGAGAAACTGGGACATAGGAAAGAAGAGTAGATATGCCCAATGTAACCTGCATTTGAAATGAAAGTGATTGAACCATCAAGTAATTGAAAAAAAAGTCATTATGGAGGATTTTTTACGATGCATGAAGAGTAGTACCTGCAGAGCCGCCATGCCCATGGTGCTTCCAATTAAATGTCGTACTGCAGGATGCATATCCAGCTTTCTGGCTGACAACCATAATCCGCCTATTGCAGCTAAAGTAGCAGTGGCAAGTATACGATGATCAAGCTGCAAAAGACAAGAATGAAATTCATCATCAAGAACATGTCCCTTCCAAACAGCTTGGAAATACTTTATTTTAAGCTAGGGGTCTATCTCGCTATATCTACGAAGTAGGGGTAAGGTTTGCGTACACTCTACCCTCCCCATCCTCCCCAGACCTCATTTGTGTGATACACCGGGTATGTTGTTGTCTACAAAAAATGCTTAAACTTGCATTCTGGTCATAGTTTTCTGCCAGTTGCCATATTGCCCGGTCTCATGGTTTGTGCCAACTAGACATATAACAATCCTAGCTCGAGTCCAACAACATAACTTTCTCAAAGCAGCTTTATCCGGAGAGAAGAAAAATCCATGGCACGTAATAGAAGGTTAATCACAATTTACATGCAAAACTTAACAAGTAAAATTTAAAGCACCTTGAGTGCTGCCCTTTCACAAAAAGAAATTGAATCCGCCAGAGTAATTTCGTTTAGAAAATATACAGCCTCACTTTCTTCTAATAAAAATAAAACTTATATCTTTACTTAGCCTGAGCCGAGGGTCCTTCGGAAACAGCTTCTCTACCTCCACAAGGTAGGGGTAAGGTCTGCGTACACTCTACCCTCCCCCAACCCCACTTGTGGGATTTCACTGGGTATGTTGTTGTTGTAAGAAAAAAAAACAAGTCAAGCTTGAATAAGAGGATCTCAGCAATTCTCTGAGTCAATAGCAACATTCTCTTTTTCTTTTTTTAAGTAACTCTATCAACAGCAACATATACAATTACCTCCATAACCAACACTTTCTTTTACCAATTCCCCTTCATGATGCTAAATATGGAGTAAAATTTCATGCCAAAATATTTGATCTTTCAAAAGTAGACAAACCAGGAAGTCCAGAAACAAAAGTTTACCTGAACTGTTGAAGTATTCTCAAAGAAGTTGCGGATAAGAGGCTTCATACTAAAGATATCATCTGGAATCCATGTATCTCCCATCTTTGGAAAAGTATTGAATGCCCGGCCCTGAAGTAAATTCATCCAGTCAATATTCAGATGACTACTTCCCTTTAACCAAACTTATTAAGAGAATAATGAAAACAGTGCATACATGAAAGAATAAGAAAACTTGCTTTTTCTTTGTTGTCTCTCCAATCCCATAACAAACCATCAAATACTTAACATAAAACTATGATGTGGAGAATATTAGTTACATACAGCGTCATTTCCAGCAACAAAAGCTCCAGAGATAGCAGTAATTCCAACAAGGATACCCACAGGAAGTGCAAGCCGCTTAACTTTTGCAGCCCCACGAACACAGGCAAGTGATTCAGCAGGAGGTTCAGGCATAACAACAGAAAGAGCTGTCCAAAAGAGTCCGCAATAAATAGCAAATGCGGAGGTAAGATGAGCTGCAAGGCGGTAGGGGCTAACTCTTGGTTCAACATACTCAGATGCTGGCTCCTGAGGAAAAAAATGATTTAAACAAACTTAAAGAATGATGTGTCTTATATGAAGTTCATAGCTGCATAAATTAAATGAATTGCTTGTACCTCTAAACCACTTTTCACCATCCACCAACCTATGAGCCCCTGTCCAGCACCAAGAGCAAAGAGTCCAGAGAGTCTAAATCCAAGTCTTACTGTTATGTATCCCTTACGGAGAAAATATGAGAATGGGAGTGCAAACATTATACCAAGGGCCCTTCCCCACATTCTGTGTGCATATTCCATCCAATATATGAACTTGAAATCCTCAATGTTCATCCCCTTGTTCACACTGTGAGGATTAAATTTAAGTCAAATCACTAGGTAGCCCAATACAAAAAAAATCCAGAAATAAGACTCAATAATAATCTTCATAGATCATAACAAAAAATATCAATATGGAAAATGGAATGATCCTCCAGTACTTATTTGTTTTCCACGGCTAACAAGAACAGTATTTCCAGAAGCCAAAAAAAAGCAAAACTGCTCCCTCCGTTACTTTTACTAATCCACTATACTAAAAATACATTTTTACTTTTACTTGTCACTTATAGCATATCAAGAAAAAAAACATACTTTGGTCATGACCCTTAACATTAATTACTTATTCTTCAAATCGTTTCACAACACCTATGACTAAATATTAGTATTGTGATAAAATACTTATGTTGATCATTGTTTCCTAAGGGGAGTGCGAAGTCCAAACAGGACAAGTAAAAGTGAATGGAGGGAGTACTTAGTGTTTTAGCATCGAAGCACTAAGATTAGAGTAAGTGAAGTGCACTGAGCACATACTGCTGTTTGGACTGACCATTTGTATTCTGGGGATTGCTTGTACTTCTCAAATTCAACCAACCAATCTTCATCTGTTAGAGGAGGAAGGCTCCCAGTAAATTTCCAGTCCGTCATTGATAGACCAGAACGTGTCAGCCGTGTGATACCACCAAGCACAACCATACTGAAGACCCAAGCAGCAGATGTAAAAAGCCATATGCCGACCATTTTCCGGGCATGGGGTCCAGCAGTTACAAGGAACTTCAGTCCCTCCTTGTTTTCAGCTGCAGAAGCAGCCACCGTGGAAATTTTTCTGAAAGACGTTCTATGCACACCCTGAAATCAATATATATACCCTTGTTGGCTACCACAATGTAAATATATGGACAGAAAAACAGATGCAAAGAAATCTGACTTAAGCATTTCTAAATTTCTTATCAGCGTGTCCATACACGTATGCAACACATAAATGGCTGCCTTTAACTTACCATATCAAATTATAATTCTAAATTGGAGCATTTTGGAAGAACAAAGGTGAACAAAGAATAAGTTATAATGCATTCTTTGTTAGTTATTGTGTAAAAGTAGCAAAATTTGTAAAAACAATCAAAGCAATCACTAGATAGTAGATCACAAACATAGCTAATCTGAGCATGTAAAAGACTAACTACTTAAAAAGAACTACAGTTCAATACAAATTGATCAATCCAAAACAGAACACCTCACCATAATCAACTAATCTACCGTCCACATAATCCATCACACAAATTACAACATCATACCCATTGTAATCCCACAAAGTGGAGTCTGGGGAGGGTACAGTGTACGCACACTCAGAGGTAGAAAGATTGTTACTGATAGACACTCAGCTCAAGAAAAAAGAACAGCTACTATGACCAAAACAAAACAACAAAAACTACAACAAAACAATACGATAATTGAGGTACAAGGAACAAACCATCACACAAATTACAAAAGATGAATAAACCATAAAACCCATTGAACAAATCATATTCACTTAACAAAAAAAGTGACAATTTCTAAACTACAGAACACTACTATAAAAATAAAAAAGACAATTTTTTTCTCGAAAATAAAAAGCTCAAAAACGAACCTTGTGATTAAGATGATGAAAAGATCTTAAACCATAGTTAACAAAGGTCCTTCTAACAAAGTTTCTGCTAGAAGGAGCAAGCTTTGGAAGAGAAGATAAAAGCCTATACTGATTCAATGTCGAAAATGAAGCTTCATTTGAAATTTTGGCTGCTGTAAAGCCCCATTTTCCAAGATTCGACGAAATCTTGACACCCAAATCTTTGTTTTGCCTCAGAAGTGAAATTAATCTGCTCTCTAACATTGCTCTTTTCTGGGTTTCGATTTTTTCTATCAAATTTGCTGTAAATTTTTGTGCGTTGAGTTTATGTTGCTGCGTTCTTTGAAAAAGTTAAATCTTGGACAGGGTTTAAGGATGAACCGGCCGGTTCACTCAAAACCGTGGGCGAACCGGTGAAACAAAGCGTGGATATTCGTATAGCCATGGGATTTTAGAGTTTTTTTTATTTAATCGTATTTTTATTTTGAATATGTTTTTATTCTCAAAAAAAAGAAGAAGAAAAAACTGTATTTTAAAATTAAATATTTACGCAATTTATATAATGAAAAAATTGTATAGTTACGCGTGATGTTATCTCTATTTTATAAAACATATTTAAAACTTTTATATAATGCAAATCCTACACAAATGCTACTTCATCTAACTAAATATATATAAGATAATTTTAAAGCAAAAGAATAAGACATATTTTTTTATAAAATAAAATATTAAATTAAATTACAAATAACATATATATATATATATATATATATATATAAAAAGAAAGAGTCAAAGATCCCAAAAAATATGCAAAAAGATGCAAAGTAAGAGAGTAGGTAGCTAGGGTTTATGAATAGTGTTTATAGTAGTGCAGCGCAGTGTATGTGGCGCTCCATTGTTTAGCAGTAAGCAGCAGGGAGACTGTGTCCCAGTGGCATTATATGTGAAGGGGGAGCACATAAATAGAAACATCAGAAACAGGTGGGTCCATTGTTTACAACAAATGGGGTATTGACACGTGGAATGTGGTCAAAGATTTAAAAAGCCCAAATCAATGTGACGACTTGGGTCCAAAAGCCCAAACTGGAAAAAAATAAAATTTAATGAAATTTTCAGGTGTCAAGCGTGTGATATTCACATGTCTAACATAGATGTGGTTATGGCTTTTTAGGGGTGTAATAATTTTAATTTTAAATACTTCAGGGGGTGATAGGACCCCCGTAAAATTGAAGTGTGTAGTTGGAAATTCGAATATAGATTGAAGGGACTTTTAGCCATTTTCTCTTTTAATTAAGTATAATTATAATAAAAAAATTTATCTCCTTACAAAAATCATCACAACATTTCACCAAATAAAATTCTTTTTAATGAACTTGAATTTAAAATTTGACAAACTAAAATTTCAATACGGTCCAATCTCATTATCATTGCTCAATCCACGATGTATAAAACAAATCCCTACAAGCAAATACATAATCCTCACTAGGCATCATCTCATTTCCATTGCTCAACCCATTTGCGATTTTTAGGGTTATTCTCTTCAGTAACATCTTACAATTTAACATGATGCATGTCCCTTTTTGCTACAAATTTGACCGTGCCCAACCAACAGTAGATTAAGAAATTTTCACTCATGGGGTTTGATATTTTAGGATGATTTGATTTTTTTGAGATATATATATATATATATATATATATATATAATGAAAGAAAGTTATGGAGTACTAATATCTTATTAAATTACAAATAACCTACCTAATCTCGCTTGCCCTAATGATTGTATCAACGCATACAATTCACTGTTGTATTACTTATATTCATTCGCTCTATTTTTATTTGTATTTATTCATTCTTCTTTCACCTCCTTAATTTGTTCCTTAACTCTTACCCTTTGCTCTATCTTTTTTCCTTTCTTATACTTCTAACTATTGTACGCAAAAAATGTCATATTATGCACAATCACGTGTTATGTAATTATTTGTGGTCTTTGCTATAATTGTTTTTGTGTGATAAGAATTTAGACTTTCAACCATCTTTTTCAATAATTTTGGGAGCACTTTGCATAAAAACTTTCGATCTTCTATACGTTTATAGGAATATATGAAATTTCAATTTCATCTATTTCCTCTCTGTGTCTTTTGTTGAAATAAATTTTATATATCTCATGCAAATAAATAAAATATGCTTTTTTCAAAGAGTTAAAAAGTATATATCTTTGACTTTTACTACTTATTTTCTCAGTACAAACTACAATTAATGTGATACTTTTGAGGATGTGCTAACTAGAAGAAGGAAATAATAGCAAATATTGCATCTTTGTGCAACACATCATTCTATGTAACTTTTGGTTTATGTGTTAACAACACTATATTGTTGTCATTATATCTTTTATTAACATGCATAATTAAATATAATGTATATTTATTATTATATATGACTGGTGTGGTATGGTGTCTTTGTGCAATTTTTTTCGATTAGTTGAACTTAGTAATTTTGAGATTAAAAAGAGGATAAACAAATCTATCTCAACTTTTTGTGCATGGTTAATAAAAATAAGAAGCTTGAAGAGGAAAACAATATTTAAAAAAAAATTGCTTCTCAAAGAGCCGAACATCGTCCAACTCCTCCAAATTAATACAAAGAAACGAACATTGTTTTATATTTTTTGTATTTTTATTCCTCCTAAACATTTATACCTCCAGTTTAAATGTTCTCTCTTTTTCCTGACAACAAATTATCTCATAATCATATATAGTCACTTTTTCTTAACAATAAAAACTAATGGCTTAATGTCTACTAATCAAAATCAATTTGATACTAAATTCACTTGAATAACAGTGGAAAGAGAGTTTTTTCTATAAAAAGTAGTAATTTGTATTGTTCTTCTAGAACTAGATGGTTATATTTATATTTTATCATTGTTATTACTGAAATGATACACAATAAAAGTTATCATCGTAACAGCCGTCTTGACTAACGTTTAACTTGAATTTTTCTATGACTAAAATGTGGAATGCGCAAATAAAATACTTAATGAAAATATGATATCATTTTTTATTGGAACCAAATAAAGAAATAGAAGATGCAAATCAGCATTATTTTGAACACATTTCGATTTCTACTATATTTTTGCAATATGAAACTTAGGATCTCTTATATTTCACACTAATATTCTTCAAAAGTAGTTGGAGAAAATTTCTTTCCTGCAGTAAAAAAAATTCTAAGAAAAATGAAAAAGATAAAGCAAAGACCAAATGATACTTGATATAAAAATTGATATTAGCGAATTGCTTAACCACAAAGTGTGCGGTCAACATTTGTTTGCAAAAAGGTTTTTGAGCATTTAGGGACTTATAATTATGTTATTGTAATTTTACTCGTGATAACATATACTTGAGGAAATATATATATATATATATATATATTTTATTTTTTTTTATTTTTTTTTTTAAATAATCAATTGAACCGTAGGGATATGTTAATCTTCTCTGTCCGTTTTAATTTTATCGAATGTTCCTGAAGGGACACTCGAAGAAATATTTGGTAATGTATTAGAAGAAATATTTAATGTATAAAAAATTTATACATAATTATCCAATGTTTGATACCTTTTATTGTTTTGTTTTAGTTTCTGAAGATTTTAATCCTAGTACAAGTTATACATCAATTCACGTATTATTTTAGGGCTTTTACATATTTGATTGTTCGGTCAAATATATATATATATATATATATATATATTCATTATGTATAAAATATGTATATTATAATTAATTATAATCGCTTGGCTAGTATTTTGATGATCAACTATACGAGAAAGGCATGAGAAGTCATTTCAAACAACCTTATATCATCCATATTTCGTTATAGCTTGTACCCTATGCCAAATGCAACTATGTTTGATAAAAATTTAAAATAGCGAATTTTGATGTCTATTTACCAAACATATCGATAGTTTGAATAATTAATCATATATATATATATAAAAGAGAGCCCTAGGCCCGCTTACGTGGCGCCATCACAAACAAGAATTTCATTTTAATTTATTTATCTACAAAACTAGTCTTCCCCTTTCATGAAAAGTTGTGACTTTAATGAAAAGTTACGACTTTTCTAAAAAGTTGTAACTTGTATGAAAAGTAGTGACTTTTATGAAGAGTTGCAACTTTTATGAAAAAATATGACTTTTATGAAACGTTGTGACCTTTCCGTAAAGGTATAACTTTTCTAATGAGTTGTGACCCTTTCAACAAGGCACAATAAGAATTTGTTCACACTATCATTTGTTGTCTATAAATAGAGGGATTTCTTGTCACTATTATTTGTAGGGGGTTTTTTCCGCTATAGGGTAGTCAAATTCAAATTCATTAACTAAGCTTCTTATGAAGTTTGTTTCATTCTTCAAAGTTTTCTTCCTCCAATTTCATGGAGTTTAATCTTTACTACAAGTTATAGTGATTCATGTAACAATGACAATTCATTTTTTCTATCTTGGTGACTTTCTTTTACCTCTGTTAAAAAAATTCAGCAAGGATGATTGAAAATTGATCTTCTCTTTTGTCCCTTTCTACAAGTTTCTTCATATAAATAATGAAAATTGATTTTAAATTGCAATGCGACATTACTACTCTTGCACCTCTCCACCCACAACTCATAACGCTTTTGAAATGGTTGAATTCATTACATTTGGTTCTTTAGTAAACAAGTCTTTTATTTCTGCCACTATTATTTGTAGGTTTTTTTGCAATAAGACAGTCAAATACATATACATTTATTAAGCTTCTTATGAAGTGTGTTCCATTTCTCAAAGCTTTTCTTCCTCCTATTTTATGAAGCTTAATCTTTTACCGTAAGTCATAGTGATTCATGTATCCCTTGCAATTTATTTTTGTTATTTTTATAACTTTTTTTTTTTAACTCTGTTAAAAATTTCAGTGAGGATGATTGAAAATTTATCTTCTCTTTTGTCCCTTTTTACAGGTTTCTTCATATATTTATTGGAAAAATTGCTTGTGGAATGTGTTATATTTGATAGCATACAACAATAAATATGTGATTACTAATATGGAACCAATGATGATGTTTGTTAAAATGTAATGTGATCCTTTCTTTCGTGGACGAAAGTCCTTCTTAGTAGTGGATATTGTAATGACCCTCATGGTCATTTCTGTGTCTTGCCTTCTGTGTGTCGTTTAGAGCGTTCCTATAGCGACCCCAAGTCATTTATGACTTGCTGGGACTGACAGTTCGGTCACCTGGTCGTTCGTTTGGTTATGGTGTGAGTTTTAGTGTTTTGGAATTTATGAACCTTGAACGATCATTTTCGATCAAAAGT